AAAACGCTCTCCCCGAATGTGACAACCACTGTCCTCAGTAGAATTTGAAGGACCCTCAGGGCTCACCCAATGCCTCGTTGTGGGTGAAGAAAGCAAGACAGAGAATCCGTGTCACCTGGACAAGATGCCAGAATTTTCTTTTGCTTTATACCTATGTGTTTCAGGTCAAACAGGTCTTTTCAGCAACACATCTCTTATGTAAGTTGAGGTCATAATCTTAGAAAGCAGAAACTCCCTCTTTGACTGGGGTGAAACTCAAGACTCAGTACCAACACCCCTCTTTCTTGCCACCAGCCTTACCAACCTCCAGGCTCAGGAAGCTCCAGATAAAGTTAAAATGTATCCAATTCAGAGTCTACCTAAAATTTAACAAAGGTCATCTGAATGAGCCAAAAGCATATTCTATCTAATTATCTCAACTCTTTGTCATTTTTAAAATAACTGTCTTACTATCCATCCCCAATTTCTTTTATTAATTAAGATACAGCTTACACACAGTGCACAAATCCTAAATGGGCAGCTTGAAGAATGTGATTACATGTAGCTACATCTTGTTGGATTTTTAAAAAAATATATATATCTTTATTGATTTCAGAGAGAGGAAAGGAGAGGGAGAGAGAGAGAGAGAAACATCAATGATGAGAGAGTCATTGATCGAGCCCGCAACCCGGGCATGTGCCCTCACCGGGAATCGAACCCCGATTGCCTGGATCCTAGGTCGACGCTCAGCCGCTGAGCCACGCCCAGCTGGGCGCATGTAACTACATCTTGTAACCACCACAAAGATCAAGACATGGAACGTGTTGGTGTAGGTAGCTGGATATTGATAATGGGAGGGAGCAAAGGGAATCGGGCATTAGGAGGCCTAATGAACTGGGAGCTAAATCTAATACTGAGCCGCCTTACTTCCCTAGGGAGTTACAGCCTCACACCCCTGGGTCATCCTCCGCCCTTGGGACATAATGCCCGAACTGGGCAGGGAGGACTGTTACGGTCATTACCGGAGGGGGGGTGGGGAATAAAAACAGCAGGAGAAATTCCTCTGCTGGGCACGTGCATGGAGCCAGGATGGTGACCACAGGGGCCTGTCGGGCTAGCTGGGGAAAGGACCGGGTGGGATACGGGGCCCAGGGAGGTCTAGGGGATGGGCTGGTTAGGGGGAGGGCCCAGCGCCAGCCTCGGTCAGCCCCTGTCGTTCTGTGGGCCCACTCTGAGTGGACGCCTTTCTGCTCCCACAGCCCCTATGCATCCTGTCCTCTTGGCCCTTAGTCCTGGGTCTGAAACAGTCTGTGGACTCAGCCGCGTCCTCCCCGGGCTGCAGTGCTGCAGGGAGTTCGTTCATCTCCGCTGAGCCCAGCCTGGCACAGTGGCAGGGCCTGGTCTGTACTCAGCACTGTTCTCTGATGTCCAAGCGGCACTTCAGTAACTGAGTCTTCTTCCTCTAACTTGCCTTGCTCACCTCTGTAGCTGGAAAAGCACCAGCGCGTAGGAAAGGCAGAATTCCCATTTCTTTACCGTCTCTGCCTGGCTCAGCACTCCCGCGTCAGTCCTCCGCGGTTGGTCTCAGATGCTGCTGAGCGAGGGCTCTATGTGGGAAACGTGTCTGTCTCCCTTGAGACCAGATGGCAGGTGTTGTGGTTCAGCTGCAGGTTCAGCCGCCAGGCCACGGCCACGGGGTGGTGATTCCTTCCCCACAGTTTCCATTTCCTCCCCTGAAAGACAGGACAGGGAGCCAGGCCTCCATCAGGCTGCTGACGAGAGTTCCCGGGTGTAGGGGCATTTAGGGGACTGATCTCAGACATGCTGGCTTCCATTGTTGCGTGGAAGAGTTTTTCTTTCAGACTTTGGGTTTGCTCTGTTGGCCGTGGGACTGCTCACAGCCTTTAACTTGCTGAACACTTAGGAATCTCCACCTTAGCAGTTCCTGGATTCACTTGAGGGGAAAAAAAGTCTCCTAAAAAATCCCCTAAGTAGTGCAACTCAGGATGTACTTTACAAAATTCTTATCATCAATGTAAGAGAATATTAACATTTTCTGAAGCAAAATTAGGACACTGGCTTGACAAGTATGGATGTACCTGGGGCATTGGTGACAAGTGTGGATGTACCTGGGGCATTGGTGACAAGTGTGGATGTACCTGGGGCATTGGTGACAAGTGTGGATGTACCTGGGGCATTGGTGACAGGTACGGATATATCTGGGGCATGGGGCATAGTATTCACAGTGAGAACTGTTCATCACTCAGGCGAGCAAACAAATAACTGAGACCTCTGCGTACTGCATTTTAAAATCTTTCTTTTTAAAAAACTGAAGAGCAAGTGACATGGCTTTGATTCTAAAGTGAGGGCTACAGATGTTGCCCAGGTGGAACCACCTAGGCTTCGTGCATTGTTTTCTGGTGGGGTGGAGAACTTCTCAATAGGCGCGAGGGCCGACTTCCTTGTTCAGACGCTGGGCATCTGATAAGAACTTCCCCCAGAGCCAGGAAACTTTGCAAGTGCCAACCAACCGAAAGGGGGAGGTAAGCACGGGGAGCTGACCAAAGTGAAAAGGGGAACAGGCTCCCACCAGAGTGGGTTTAAAACCTGCCCCAAGAGCAGCAGAACGCCTGGCGCGCTGCCCGAGGTAAGCAAAAGCCTGCCTGTGCTAAGGAAAGATTAAAACAAGCTCATTTTTAATAATCAGTGACTTTTTTATCTTATCAAGCACCATATTTTGGTGGCGTTAGGTGGTGATGGGGAAAACCGTTTACAAACTGAGGGGTGTTACTGTTTCTTCGCAGGTGTGTCTGCTCACAAGGGTAAGATTTTGTTGCCTTGTTTCCAAACAGAAGGGCAGGATCCGACTGAAAACTCCAGAAGCTTATTAACAAGCCATGATTTTAAGACGAATGAATAATTGTTGGGTAACCTATTGAAACTATTTTCCAAAACAAACCCAAAAAGTCTTCTTCCAAATTGAGTAAAGAGAAGCTTATTTATGGGTGAAACTCTGTTTGAACGGTTTTGTTTAACATGTTTTTCATTCTACTAGGTCTTTGCTTTTGTATTGCAGGGTTTTTCCTATTATTTTGAAGAGAGGAAGGGTTCTTTATTGTCTTGTCAAAAGTCTTTATCTAAGGGAACACTTCTCTGGCAAACAGTTTTAATATTTGGAATAAACTGGAATGTCTACTCTGCAAAGAAGAGCATTTTCCTCTTGGATACTGAGAGAATAGTACATTCCTGCATCTGCGGGGACAGGAGTGGGCCTTCCCGGCGCCCACTGCCGGCCTGGCACCTTTTCCAAAGCTGATAAATTTTAGTCAGTGTTTGAAATTTAGTTCAAATATGCTAGCAAATAATTACTTAAATAAATATTTATACTATAAAACATAATAAATATGGTCAGCTCTCGTCTGTTTCAGAAGGGAAATGCATCCCTCGTGGTTAAAGTCATTTGCCAGACCTTTGTCCTCAAAGGTCCTTGTGCCTGGCGTGTAGAGGGGGGACCCACAAAAGTGCCAGAGAGTAAAACGTGTCTAGATCTGGGTTACCTGTCCCTATGGTTGTATCAGGTAAATTTTATAAATTAACTGCATCGCATATTCAGTTTGGTATTTCACCTGATGTATTCTAATCGTGAACAAATTGGACAAGTTAATCTATTGGACATGAATACTGACCGAAAGTGGCGCCCAACTTGGTGGTCTTCCTTTTTCCCTAATGCAGGTTGCTCATTCATCAACAGATATTTAATAAACTAGCTATTGTGTGTCTAGTACAGGTGCTGGTAATGTACAGGTGAATTAGATAAGATCCCCAGCCCTCAAGAACCCCAAGCTAATCAACCTATTAAAATGTGCTTGACAACTGTTTACAGAAATTTGGGTAAGAATAATACTTTGGGGGCAAGTTTTACTTGAATCTTGATTCAGTATCTTCTAGTTAAACAACTAGTTAAAGAAGTTACTTAATCCGTTTAATCTTATCTTCTCTCATCTGTAAAATGGGGGTTACAATAGTCTCTACTTCGTGTGGCAGCTGTAGGGTTAAGTGGGATAATACTCCAGGTAAAGGTGTTTACAAGGTGACCCAAAATAAGCTCTTAGCTAAATTGTATTGATAATGACCTTCAATAGATGATAATCATTTCACAAGCACAATTAACAATATTGGATGACTATATTGTTAACAATATTGCATATTTGAAAGTAGCTAAGAGAGTAGATCTTCAAATTCATCACAGGAAAAAAATTGTAACTGTGAGGTGATGAACGTTAACTAAACTTAATATATAGCAATCATTTCACAAACGTATACATATGTCAAATCATGTTGCACATCTTAAATGTGTACAATGTTATATGTCCATTATGTCAATAAAATGAACAAAAAACAACTACTGGATATAACAATTTCTGTGTATAGGTGGGAAACACACAGTAATATTTTGTTGACAAAATAGAACATTCAGTCTCGTTGAACACATTCTGTTTCTCTCCTCTTTGATACTTTAAAACATTGAAGAAAACACTCTAAATCATTGTAATTGAGTGAAAGTGGTTGCTTGGAAGTTTTGAGAATGGTGCTAAGAAGGCTTTCAAATGGGTTTTGTTTTATGTCACAGAGCTCTTTTCTTTTTTGAAGCATAAACTGTACCCTCTAGAAGACATATCTTGAGTTGTTTTTTTTTTTAAATATTTTATATTGATTTTTAGAGAGAGAAAGGGAGAAGGGGGAGAGAGAGAAACATTGATGTGAGAGCAAAACCTCGATTTGATGCCTCCTTCATACCCCCAACCAGGGATCAAGCCTGCAAGCCGGGCATGCACCCTGACTGAGAAGCAAACCCTCAACCGTGCGGTGCAGGGAACGACATCCAGCCAATTGAGCCACACCAGCCAGGGCCATGTCTTGAGTTTTAAACTGTCGATTTAAGCAATTCGATGCTAAGATTTGGAGTAATTTGTTTATCTAATCATTCATTCAATAAATGTCTACTGCCTCTTCTGCGCTAGGTGTTTTGCTCCTCTCTAGGAATATAAAGATGAACAGAACTGACCTCTGCCCGCCGTTTAACCAGGTAGGAAGATGCACAATTTCCAGTGATTTAGGTTATGTTGTAACAGAGAATGCACTCTTGGATGTGGGCCTGCAGAGGAGGGAGTGGCTAGGAAAAGGCGTGGTCCCCAGCACGCCCCATGTTGCACGGAGCAGGAAACGGTGTGGAAGTAGTTGAACACGATTATCCTTTCCTCCTATCGTGCTCAGAGCATCACCCTTCATGTGAAAATTATTGGCCTTATTGTCAAACCACGTTGAAATCTAAGTGATAAAACCCCTCAGACTTGGGCAGGGACAGGTCCTTTTTTTAAAAAAATATATTTTTATTGATTTCAGAGAGGAAGGGAGAGGGAGAGAGAGAGAAACATCAGTGATGAGAGAGTCATTGATCGAGCCTGCAACCCGGGCATGTGCCCTGACCAGGAATCAAACCGTGATCTCCTGGATCCTAGGTCGATGCTCAACCGCTGAGCCACGCCGGCCGGGGGGGACAGGTTCTTTTCAGTCTCTCTGTCCTCGCAGCAGCTCGTGGTGTGCTGGGCACTGAAACAGACTTAATGCTGGTGCTTCATGTATTGGTGGAAAATAGCAGGATTTTATTAGGCTAATGTAATAAATGTGCAATTAATACGTTTTTAATTCATAGCAGGTTCCTGGATGGCAGATCACCCCGCCTTCCTTTTATTGAGTTTTCTGTCCTGTGGTCTTCCCTTCATTTCTGCTTCACTTTATGACTCACTGAAAGCAGTAGACTGGATCAAGCTGCCCCCCGACACGGTGCTGCTACAGGTGAACGGTTATGAAGTAACAAACTTCAGCTACAATGAGAACCGTCTTCCCAAACTTCGCTTTCTCAGTCTCTCCTCTAACTGCATCAGGACTTTGCCAGGTCCGGTTCTTTCAGATCTGAAAGGGAAATGCCTAAAGGAGCTTCCAGAATCAAAACTGAACCGCACCCAACAGGCGATCACCTCGGTCTGCACCTGTGAGGTCCTCGGGAGCTACCCCGTCCCACCCAACAGCACGGCTTGTGCAGAGATGTTGAAGGGCTGTGGAAGCAGCTCCGTGGCCCTTCCCATAGGGGCCTCCCTTCTGTTGCTTCTGGTCATCTGTGGAATTGGGTGTGTCTGGCACTGGAAACAGAGGAACACGACACAGTTCACCCTCCCGAGGTTCCTGCAGAGGAGAAGCAGCAGGAGGAAAGACTATTCTAAAACACTCTCCGTGGGCCCCGACGTTATCAGCTCAAAGTCCAAGGTCTCTGTTGAAACCCATGACCCTGGGTCTGCTGCCAGGGAGACTGCCCTGCATGACCACTATGAGAACCTGGAAGTGCGTGCACCCAAAGCCGAAGAAGCCGGGAAGGGTCTGTACGAGAACATGCAGCCGACGGCCCTGGAGGAGCACATCTATGGAAACGAGGTGCCCTGCGACTATTACAACTTCCACAAGCCCGGTGCTCCCGAGGCCCCTCAGGAGGAAGACATATACATTCTCCCGGATTCATAATAACTTTTAATTGCTGGGTTTAGTCGTTGGAGGATGTTCACTGGGACTTTTGGGACTGACGTCGGTATCGATCACGTCCTTCTGGTGAAGCTCGGTGACGTCCTGTCTGAATCTTCGCCATTGGAGGATGTTCACTGGGACTTTTGAGACTGACGTTGGTATTGATCACGTCCTTCTGATGAAGTTCAGTGACGTCCTGTCTGAATCTTCGCCGCGTGGATCACTGTGGGTTACATCTCAGCGCCCACCCCCGCCTGCCCTAGACTAATTCTGCATTGTGTTGTATCGAGTCTCCCCTCTGATGTTACCTGTTACCTTTGTCTTTTATTTGTCTCTCCACCATCCTTTTCTGCTCAGGTTAATTGTCATGTCCCCTAATCGTCTTCCTGGCTCTGTTTCTACACACCCCACAGTTCCCCACGACGCTGCCAGCTTTCTCTTCAGAAAACACTTTCAATAGCAACATACTCCTGGACCTAAAACCTTCTTGTGTAAAAGACCTAATACTCATAATTCTAACTGCAGAATTCCTGATTTTCCACCACTGGTTTCCATTTACTTTTCCAGTGACCTCTGCTTCTCTGTTTGCATCAGAATGATCTCAAAACTGGCCTCCCTGGCCCCTCCTCCGGCTTCCCTCACGGGCCCCTCCCACCTGCCCCTGTCCTCACTCCTCCTGGAGGGCTCTGAGTCCCAGGCCATTTACCTTTTTCGTTTCTGATCTGTAGATTTTGCTGCCAGTTCCACTCTTTGATCATTTAAACATATGAATGTTTGTTATGGCATTTTAGTATTTAAATTTGTCATTTGAGAATGTCGTAAATTCTCGTAAATTCCCCGCTGAGTAGTAAGGAGGTGCCTCGTGCATTTAGCCCTGATGCCTGGATCATCACCTGAGCCACTCGTTACCGGTCAATTGACAAGAATTGAATTGTACATTTTGCTAAGTAGTTTTTGAATCTAATAAATGTATCCATCCAAGGAATGTGTATTGAGTACCTTCTATTTACTTCTTCCTGTGCTGGGCACTTGGAGGGGTGAACGAGTAACAGAAAAGGCATGTGTCCCGGTAGGAAAGAAAGACAATAAACGAGCAAACAATAAATGCTTGTGTAGTTATGAAGCTATGATGTCTCATCTCTAAACCCACCCTGAGGCGCTCGGGCCGGGACTCTGCCAAGCACATTATTCCTTTGGCAGGTGACCCATATTGGGTTCTGTCAATAGGGGGCGCTAAGGAGAACTGGTGGGGACTTGTTCTTACATCCTGTTGTCCCAAGCAGGTGCTGTTCCTGTGTGACGTACCCAGTGTCATGGTGGTTTGCAGTTTCTGGTTCCTCCCAGCCCTCCCACAACCAGCTCATTGTACCTGTCAGAGATGCCAGCACCCGCCAGGCAGCACCCTGTCCCGGTGTCTGAGGGCCAGCTCTCCAGGGCCCTTCTCCAAGCTCCTGAGGGACAGGCCCCTCTAAGCTCTGGGTCCAGCCCTGCAGGCACCTCCCAGGCCCTCGGCACCGGCTGCTTCCTGCAGTCACTGTCTCTGGCACCTCAGTCTCCAGTTTCCTCTTTTTGGCTAATTTTCTATATTCAGTTCCTCTGTTAAAACTTATGTGGTTTTTATCTCCCCAAGTGGTCCCAAAATGGTTCAAATAAAAATGTATAGTAGGTGCTTTAAAGAAAAAGAAGTTTTCTGTTTTTGAGAGCAGTGGAGGTGGGTAGGGAGCAAGGCTTGAGTTTTGATGAGGTCAACAGAGGCCTCTGAGGACACACGAGCTGAGGACGAAGCGAGAGCCATGTAAATGTGGTGATGGGCGGGGTGGGGCCAGCCTGCAAAGGGAATCCAAGGCATGGAAGATTGGGGTACAGCAGTGTGGCTGGAGAGTGGTGGTGGGGGAGCTGTGGTGACACCTGGTGGAGGTGAAGGGGAGGGACCAGGAGGAGACGCAGCTGCTTGCAGGGCTGCCTTAGGGCTCAGATGCCACTGCGGGTGCCAGTGGAACCTAGTGAAGTGTTTCTGCAGGGCAGGGACTTGATAATATTTACATTTTAAAGAGATGCTGGGTTGAGAAATGACTGGAAAGGGGCAAGATGAAAATTCGTGATGAAAATTTGTAAAGGTTAGAGATAGCTCCTTGTCGCCTTCTACATTGCTGTCACCTTCCAGGCTGGACCTGGAGCACGTGGCCATTTCCAAGTCTCAAATAAGAAGTCTTTTTCCAGAATAAACGATACCCATGGGCACTTAGCAACCAGTCGATCGCGCTGGAATAGCCTGGCAGAAATGTCGCTAGTGCCTGTCCTTGGGAGGGACTGGAGATCGGGCTGGAATGAGCAGGGGTTAGTGTGGGACAGGTGAGGGGAAGGCTGAGCATCCCCAGGAAGGTGCCCGGAGAGGTGGGCCCTGGGGAGGCAGCTCAAGTGTCCAGTCTGAGCAGTAATGGGAGGTTGTCATGCAATGTTTCCCGTGGTTTAAGTGGGAGCCTGTTCACTGTGGAGATCGATGGCAGTTTGGGGAGCTTTCACATTACCTTTATGTTGAAGTCTAAGGCAGTTGGAAGTGAAATAGTTCAGACTTTCTTACCTACATCTCACAAGGACGACTTTTACTCTTGAGACTTAAGAAGGCAGAGAAATTGTGTAATAAAGGTGCAGGTAGGAGATAGAAATTTGAAGGGGTGCAGGGAAGAAAAGGGGGGAGGAAACGGGACAGGACAAAGAATGGGGGGGTATATGCAGAGGAAGAGAAACAACAATTTCTACAATTTCCACTGTTCCCTTTACCCCTCGCCCCCCAAAACTGCCAGTAAGGTAAGTAGTTGTAAAAGGGGAAGGAAAGTGGTGACATTTGTGACCTGATTGAATGCAAGTAATAATTGGCTCCTAGTAAATACATCGATAACTGCGCAGGCCCTTGCCCTGAAAGTGTATTGATTGGTCACTAGCCCTCCTGCCAGTCCTCAAACCTGCCTGAATTTGGGGACGTTGCACCCTCTCAGCTGGGGTGGTCTTCTCCCAGATGCTCAGCTTGTGAGCTCATTTCACGTAGCTCTGCCTTCAAAGACACCTGCTCAGGGGTGTGGACCCAACTGGAGTCAGCCGCTCCCGAGGCTCTCCTACCCTTTCCCGGTTTAGTCACCACTATCCGTGTGTGTGTGTGTGTGTGTGTGTGTGTGACTGTGAGACTTAACACATTGTTTGCGGGTAGTTTTTATCACGTGCTCTACTACCAGTCAACATAAAATGTATAAATACGTTTCCCGCATACAAGATCTGTTCTCTACCCAGAGTGCAAGCTCACGAGGGAGAAGCGTCTTCTGTCTCACCCCCTGCTTGATCCCAGGACTTGCCTGTGGGGTACCCTCAATATGTTTGCTGATCTAATAAGGTTTCTTTCTTTAAGACTAACACTTTTGCTGAAATTGCTGAAATATTTTGTAAAATAACAATGGAAAGAGTTACACATATTATTTTGAACGTCACTGATATGCAAGGATATATTAAGGTAGATTTTTACATAACTTTAGTGCCTTCCGTCTTCTTTGCCATCTTAACATAATCATGCCTTGTCCCTGTGACCCCAGTCACTGGGGCTAGGTGATGCCACGTTGGGTAGAATGAGCGAGGAGCCAGGCCCTGAGGCCAGTTGGGAGGTTGGACGTGGGCTCCACACAGGAGAGGGAAGAGACAGAAGTCAGGGAGGGAAAGGTGCCGGTTTCCCGTCTTCACCGGCTTGCTGCTCAAAGCACAGGGAGGAGCTGGTTCGCACAGTGCGGGAAGTGGCTCGTCCCAGATCCACGGCCGAGCCCTCGCTGATCTGATTGCTTTCAGGTGTCCTCCCTCCACCTCCTCTCTGCTCCGCTCCTTCTCCCTGTGCAGCCTCAGGGTGCTCGTCCCCAATTCTTCCCCTGGGAGTTTCTCTAAGTGAGCTACACATTCAGACATGAACTGTTTGGCCCAGGTGCCATTTTCACGCATCTGACCCCCACGGGCAGCCACCCTATGTCCTTCTGACATCTGAAGTTCAGCACTGGCCAGACTGACGGGGGCCAGGTCTGGGTGTCACTCAGGAGCGGGTGGGTCACAGTTGGAAAGCAGTGTCCTGCTGTTCCTCTGACAGGTTTGAGCTCTGAGGTGTCACACTTTGGGCAGCAGCAGGAGGGTCAGGGCCTGCTGGGCACGGGGCAGGGGACTTGTCCGGTAACTGCAGGTAAATGGCCCAGTAGAGCTATGTATTTAATTAACTTCAATGTTCATGTTTGACACTTATTTTAAAACCTTCTTGGGATAACTACATGGAGCTGGACCTAAAAATCAATGTTTATTAGACAGTATCATTAAAAATGCCCAGGCCAGGAATTTTAGAATTTGTCCACTTTGAGGGAAAGGACACCATGGATGTCCCTATAGGAGACAGGAAGGTTGTAAATAACCCCTGAATAAAAGCACCTTAGCGGGATAGACAAGAAGCTGTAGAACCCAAGGTCACAAAATTTATAACAAGCGACTGTAAAGACCGAGTAGGGTCAGGTGGTTTCAGTCATGTGACCGATGTTTACCAGGGGCCTGTGACGTATCGAACACTGGGGTGGGTGGATGGAGGGTGTGGAAATAGACCTTGTCTCTCTGTTCAGGGGACTTGCGCAGACGTGTGGAGACCATGTTAGAGAAGAGCTTGGGATTAGGAAGGCTTCCCTGAGGACACTGACACCTAAACGGAGCCCCGGAGGACAATTAGGAGCCAGCCAGGTAAAGAGGCCTAGGAAACAATGCTCCAAAAAAAGGGCACAGAGTATGGGGGCCCGAGTGCAGGGTTTGAACCTAAAGGAGATAAATACCACCTACGTGTAGGGTGCAGATGAAGCAAAGCAAGAGGCAGGGAGCCTGTGAGCAAAGGTCGATGCTGCGGGCATCTGCGACAGCTGGGGAATGTGGCCTTCACCCTAACAGCTGTGCCCACAATACCAGAATGTGATCTTGGGAGGCAGAATGGCATTTATTTTTTGAGAAACTGTAGGGTGTTGTAAGGCACGAATTTCCGAGCTGCGCCAGAATGTGAGAGAAATGTCCTGAGGTCCAGGATCTAGGCCTGGGTTTCAGTGAGCAGCGTCTGTGTTACTAGATAAGCAGAGCTCTGCGGTGTCTTACTGAGGCTTCCGCAGCTTTGAATTTAAATTCAGGTCCTACAGTTTCGCATTTTGAGATTCTCCTGACAGAGATGGGAAGTAAGCAAAGGAGAGCGGCTGAGACAGAAGGAAGCACTGAGGATGGCGGTCGCCGGATGCATTCGAGGCTGAGAAGGCGTGACTGCTGTTGACCCATGCTGTTGCCACGGAAACCAGAGCTCCGAGGTCCTCCTGTGTTTTCCCTCTTTAAGGACAGATTCATTTTCGTGAACAGTTAAGGCTGCAGATTGTGGAAGCTGGGGCTCCATTGCCTCCTGGATCTAAGTCCTTGTTGGTGAAGGAGACAATGGCTCTCGGGGCTGCAGTTCAGTCCCCAGAGGCCTGGAAGCTGTCACAGGCAAAGACTGACACTCAGTGAGACCCAGAGCTCAGCTGGTACCTGAGACCCACCTGCCCAGCTGCTCTGTGTACTAGATGGACATTAATGTGCTACTCAGAGCTTAGGAGGAACACAGTTAACGAGATTTTATCTATTAGCATAGGATTTTTAACATATCAAACCAGGAGATCTGAAACTCATCCAGCTAATGCAACACATGTCCTCTGGGCTGGCAGGAGGAGGCCTCGGGACCATGTTCAGTCTTGTTCCTGCAGAGGATTGAGAGGAATATTGGGAGGTACCTGAGCCAGGAGAAACCTGATGCGACATTTAAGGGAGAGTCTCCTTCTAAAACCAAAAGATGAAAAAGCAAAAGCAAAGCAAGAATTACTTTTTAATTTTCTAGGTCAACTGATTAAATCTTAGAGCAAACATTTGGAAGAAGACAGGAACACTGCATGGGGGAGAGAGAACCTAGAAGAA